ATGGTTCATCTTTACTCAGAAATGGGTTCAAGAAATATGTAGAAATAAATACAAGAATTAACAGCGTAGACGTTCATCTAGAGTTCTGAAATGGAACTGTCTATAAATACATTCTTTCTTAGCTCACCAAGTCAAACAGTCAGTTGTTCCTGCAGCAATTAATTTTTAATGTTGAAATTACTACCTGCTTTGTGATATGTCATGTGGTCACTGGCAGTACTAAAATATTTAACAAGAAGTAGTGAAACCACACAGAAAATTGTTCTATACAAAGTTTCCATGATAATCCTTTCAAGTCTCCATGATTATCTTTTTGTGTCTTTTTTCCTCAGTTTTCAAGACCAAAAAAATTACCAATGTATAGACACAAAGTTCTTGAGCAGTTAAAAGTGTACTATTAATGATGCTTTATTCTGTTTTTGCTTTGTTAAAAGATTTGTGCTTTTCTAAAGTTACAGAAACTGTTATATCCTCATTCCATTATGTGTAGTAATAGTCTATCTAAATTCAGTGCTAACTTTGTCATACCTACTTCATCTATCTCAAATCAGTTGCAGTGAGGTTACTGTGCCCAGCTATGCTGTAAACTTAAATATCTGATGTTGACAGGTACCAGACCACAGAAACTCAAAAAAGAGCCTTAGCCAAAAGTATACATTTAGTTCCACAAATGGTGTGTGCTTCTTCCTCTTTCTTAAGGGTTTGTAGATGATAAGCACAAAATCTAACTCCAGCTGAAACACTAAATCACTATCAAAAGTTCAATTAAAAAAAAAATAAAAATAGATGCTCTCAAAAGAGGAAGTAAGCAAGGTAGCATCAGGCAGGAAATACAAAGTGTGAAGTTTTCACACCTGAGGCAGATCTGAGTTTTCCCAAACCTTTGGTATTTACACCTGTAGCAGACAGACCAAAACATGTAACAGAATTGTTTAAGAACTAGCAACCAAATCCCAAACACAACTTGGTGATATTTCCTGTCTGATAAAGGTACCAAACTACAGCACTAAGGGAAGGTAAGACCTTAGTCAGACCACTGATAGTGTTTGTAATCATCACAGGAACTTCCTGACTGATCAGCAATAAGCCTGTGTGTCTCAAATTTGAGGGAAAGGCTAAACTCCACAGCCTTATTTATTTTAACGTTAGGTGTAGTTCAGCACACTAAGTGGCAATTACGAAAGCTGCAAAGATACTGGAATTATAAGGCCAAGGAGCATTTTTCTGCAGAAAGTATTTGTTCCTTTCTTGTACAATTGGGCTAGATGGTAGTTCTCAGGTAATACCCAAACACAAAAACAATACTAAGAAGGTTCATTCACTTGCTGTCTTACTTCTAATACCTACTGCTGCTGAGTGTCACAAACAGACCCAGTAGACAGCTATGCTCTGTGTCAGAGAGCTTTCAGAGCTGAATTAGGTTTTGATGATTGCTCATGATGAAGGAGCACACAAAAATATTTGGGTTTTACATTTCATACTTCTGCTTAAACCAAAATGCTAGCTAGCAAATGCAGCTGCACTGCAAATAGCAAATGCACTATTCAGACAGAGCTAATCTTGAACCCCCTTTCTGACTTCCCTTTCTGCAGCTTCCCAGAAAAGCCAATAGAGGGCAGTAGTTTCAGTTACTGGCAAAAAGGAGCCGTATTTCCAGTCTGTGACTTGAAGGTGGAAGGTTTGCATCCAGTATTTTTGTAAAAATTATGATTTGATTCAGTTCCTTTATCCTTTTTTTTTTTTTTTTTTCTATTTTCTCTTATTTGCAGATAAAGTACTACATGCTACATTCTCTTAATAACAACTCTACCTCAGGATAAGAGAAGAGTTCTGTCCACACAACAAATTCTGAAAATTTTAAAAGCTTACATTAATAAGCCCTTTACAGAAAAATTAATGTTCTTTCAACCAGAGAACCATAGATTCATAAAAGTTCCCGAGTTGGAAGGGACCCTCAAGGATTTTTATTATCTATTATCTATTCCTTATCTATTTTTATTATCTATTTTATTATCTATTTTTATTATTATTAGTAGTATTTTTTTCCGATGTGGGGTGCTTGTACCATCCACACTTGGAAAAATACCCTGTGTAAGACAACTGTTAAGATAGGTATGTGAGTGTAAACAGCGAGTGCAACACCCAAAACCGTCTAAACGTGTGTTTGCTCAAAACTGCTCACATTGAAGAGGAGATGGCCATCAGCTGAAATTTACAATAATAAGGGAATTACAGACAGTCTTTTTGAAATGATGGAGTCAGTTCAAAAAAAGAAGTAAAAAAGAAGTGTGAAAAATACAAGGACAAAGGGTATAAGAATAACAAAGCAACTGGCAGCATCAAACCAGGTTCTGACTGAAGTCACCCCAGCAGCACAGCAACATCTCTTTATGTCTGCCAAAGCACCCCCCAGTTGGAGGCTGGGTATTCTGACACTTAGCAGTTGCAACAACTGAGGACCCATGTGCACGACCTCAGTGGTGCTTGCTCACCAGTGCATGGGTTATGGGGTACTTCTTGGGCTTTTTTCACACATAAAAGCTAAAGCACCCACATGTCCAATAGGTGATATGTTTTAACAGGGGAACCCAGCATGTAACCAACACTGTCTGTGAGGAGAAATATGTGCATGTAATTGTGAATTTGTCTGTGCATGTGTATGTGATTAATTTTTTTTAATTAGTTACAGAACTCAATGTATAAATCTGAAACTGTCCTTAACATTTCGTTACTATCTAGTATTCCAGTTTATTTGTTGTATTGCGGATGTTGATCCTAAGTATATAGTTCAATGAATTCTAGTTACTACGTCTTTAATAAATCAACAAACTCCTTCAATCCCGATTTATTTAAACTATGTGGATTGGGCTTTTTTTTTTTTTTTGTGACACTCCAACATTTCATAAACAGTACTGATTATAAATCTTGAGCCCTCCCATGTGAATGGATTCACTGAGCTAAAGAGTTCTCATTCTCTATAGCTTACTGTGTTGACTATTCTTTTTCACATATCACTTACTACATTTCACAGCTCTGAGTTATTAGCAAGGATTTTTTGGAATGGGAATTAACTTTGAAATTAAAAAACAAAATTCATTTCAATGAACTGAGCTGAATTTTATCAGAGTTCTTCTTAATTTCCAGTATAAACTACTGCTTGTCAATGGAAAAAGCTCTTACATATCTGAAGTCCATGGAAGTTGTGTGCATGATTACAAATGGTTTGGATTTTTAAAATATATAAAAGAGGACTAATTCACACTCGAAGCTGGAGATAAAAATTCACAGATTAGTAGTAATTTTGTATTAAATGTCGCTGCTACTATGCATACAAATGCATATACATGTAAATGTCTTTAGAATAAGTGCAGATTTTGTCAATACAGAACAGCTCACAATATTTTAAGAACACAGTCATCTCAACAGACTGCACTAGAGATACACCATACCATCAGTTTTCCCATTCTTTGTTGGTTCTGAATCCAGACTGCGCAACTGCTTTATCATACATGTACGAATATTACTCTTGATGCGCTAGACAACACTTTAAGGACATCAATAAATTGCAACTCTCTGAGGGAACTGAGGTTTTTGTCTTGGCAACTTTCCCATGAAAACGAAGAAATACACATATATAGAATAATAGAGTTGCCAAAATATCAAGTGTTACCTACTTCACAGAACTGAAAAGCTAACTTAATATCTCTGCAACAAAGGAGCCAAAAGCCAGGCCACCAGATTCAAACTCTTCAACCCAGAGGTTCAGGACCAACTGTGGTGTGAGCAGTTAAAATGTATATTAAAAATGTATCTTTCATGCACTAAAATTATATTTTACTGATTACAAAGCTTTGAAAAGGCATAAACATTTTTGCAAAGGCAGGAATGCAGTAGGAGCTGGTCTGAGGATCTGGACTCCAAATCTAATAGCGTACATGTAAATCCAAAATTTAAACATTTGCTTCCACCTCTCTCACTTTCAACTCTGGTAACAAATTCTCATTCCTTTCTTTCATATCGTCTGAAACAGGATTTTCCAGCCACAGACCTGCACTGTGTAGATAATGTCAACAAACCAGTTGACAAGTCCAAAAAGAAACTACCAGTCCAACAAGATTAGCTTAGTATAGGCATAAGGTATGTATAGCAGATGGTAAACTACTGAACCAAAAACTAGAGTCACAATTGTGTAAGAGAAACATGCAGTGACAAAGCCAGAAGAAAATCCATTCATCTAGAATTAAGAAAGTGATAGGTAGCTCCTTGTCTTCAGGAAACTACCATTCACTTGCAATAACAGGCTTGGTGAGGAGTATTTCAGTTGGCCCTGCTAGCTTCCCTGACTTTATGTCCAATGGGTCTCTCCTTTTATGGTCTGTCTGAAGATCTGCTCCTTACATGGATAACCTTAAATCTTTTCCAATATAGCCTAAGTGTTTATTCCCTGTATATCCCAATATAAATGTCTCACACACAGAAGCTAATGCTTTCTACATTTACTACCACTGCCTGGTGTACAAGGTACTTTGGAGATTTAAAACACCAATAGCTAAAGGCAACGGAAATGTAGCAAGGAAATGATAGGAGAATCATCCATATTTTTCCTACTTCTCCTTTCATCAAACAATGTCATCAATTCCAAATTGGTGGTTTAAAAATGAAAAAAATTGTATAAAATATACTTGTGTTCTACCTCCAGCAAAGGATGAACAAAACCCAAATAAAACCAAAAGAACTTTTCTAATACTTTGTCTTTACTGTCTTTTCTCTTGCCCACACAAAATAAGGTCCTCTATCACCTTCTTATACTCCCACCTCTGCATTGCTTTAGTAATCATCTCAAAAAGCAGTAATACCCTCAAGCTTTCTATGACTGCTTACCATCCACTGCAGTTCTCTTAAAATGTGGATTTCACTCATTATACAAATAACTAAAGTATCAAAATACTTGATCTAATGCTGTTTCAAACAAAATGAAAAAGCTGTAAATAACTACTCACCAGATTCTCTTCAAACCACTCTCTTATACACACTGCTGTGGCCCCTGGAATTTGATTTCGCAATGCTTCTTTCTCTTGTGGATCCTCTAACATTTCTAACGCCATCTTTAGATCTTCCAAGAGATGTAAAATTTGAAATGTGCCCAAGTATACTGACGGAGCAGGTGACACAATATCATAAGCACCATTAGCATACTCTGCAGCTGACTTTGTTCCTAAACCAAGAGAAAACAGGAGAGTCTGATTTTAAAGAAGTGACAAATGTATAGCTAGTACACACTACAACATTTACACTTTAAATGCTGGATAATTATCAATATTTCCATTAATGTTTAGAAATACTCAAGATAGTCACTAGACAAATAACGAGCAGTTGAGAGGTATGTAAAATCATATTTTAAAATGAATTGCAACCTAGACAGCCTTTGCAATGTCTGTTAAATTACAAACTCCAAAACCTTACTACAAATCACCTGTAGTTTTCTATGGTTGCCATGAGATGTCACTACCTTCTCAGCTACACTAAAATCTCCACACAGAGCAGTGCTTCACAAGCAACACAAGTCAAGATTCACATAGCCCTTTGACAAGAAATTTAAATGAAAATAGACAGTATTATAAGAAGCGGAAAAACATGTAACCTTCGGCAGGTTTAAAACGCTTTCCACAGAGAACAAACCCAAAGAAGTTAGCAACAAAAATGCTTGACCAAGCTTTACTAGCTTTCCAAATCATAAAAAAAACCTATAAAACACAGATACCCCCTTCCATACCTTCAGCAGCAACATTCTTTTCTCCAGAGCAATAAGAACAGCAAACATATCTCAATAAATATATATTTGTTTTATATTTCTAAAGAAATTCTATAAATAACTTCTAATATCTTTTGTGTGTGTGTGTCTGCTTCAGTGTCTGCTTCAATTCAGTTCTCTTTAATATCTTTATTGATGATCTGGATGAGGGCATCGAGTGCACCCTCAGTAAGTTTGCAGACGACACCAAGCTATGCGCATGTGTCGATCTGCTCGAGGGTAGGAAGCCTCTGCAGGAGGATCTGGATAGGCTGCACCGATGGGCTGAGGTCAACTGCATGAAGTTCAACAAGGCCAAGTGCTGGGTCCTGCACCTGGGGCACAACAACCCCAAGCAGAGCTACAGGCTGGGAGATGAGTGGTTGGAGAGCTGCCAGGCAGAGAAGGACCTGGGAGTATTGATTGATAGTCAGCTGAATATGAGCCAGCAGTGTGCTCAGGTGGCCAAGAAGGCCAACAGCATCCTGGCTTGTATAAGAAGCAGTGCTAGGGAAGTGATTGTCCCCCTGTACTCGGCTCTGGTGAGGCCACACCTCGAGTACTGTGTTCAGTTTTGGGCCCCTTGCTACAAGAAGGACATGGAGGTGCTCAAGCGAGTCCAGAGGGCAACGAAGCTGGTGAGGGGTCTTAGGAGGAGCAGCTGAGGGAGCTGGGATTGTTCAGCCTGCAGAAGAGGAGGCTCAGGGGTGACCTTATTGCTCTCTATAAAAAGGAGGCTGTAGGAAGGTGGGGGTTGGTCTATCCTCCCATGTGCCTGGTGACAGGACGAGGGGGAATGGGCTTAAGTTGTGCCAGGGGAGGGTTAGGTTGGATGTTAGGAAGAACTTCTTTACCAAAAGGGTTGTTAGGCATTGGAATGGGCTGCCCAGGGAAGTGGTGGAGTCACCATCCCTGGAGGTCTTTAGAAGACGTTTAGATGTAGAGCTTAGGGATATGGTTTAGTGGAGGACTGATTAGTGTTAGGTCAGAGGTTGGACTAGGTGATCTTTGAGGTCTCTTCCAACCTAGATGATTCTGTGATTCTGTAATGGGCTGTCTTTGTTCTAATCTGCATTTCAGATCTTTGATTTAATTTAACATTTGTTTCTTTAACAACCAGTCAGATGGAAAACTTCTATTTGCCTTACTTTTTACTTCTTACCTTTTTTTTTTTTTTTTTTTTTGTTATTTACAATTCATTGCCTTGTGTACATAATAGATTGTACTCACATATGTCTTCATTCCTGTTCTCTTTGGCATAAGCAATCCCATTTTTCCCCTTATTTGCCTTCACGGGAGATTTTCTAGGCTTTTGATCATTCTTACTCTCTTCCGCTTAATCCTTCCATTTTGTAATATGCTTTACAGATGTATATTGGATCCACAAAGCATATAGTATTTGTTAGAACACTCCGTCATTGATCCATACAAGGTGACTATAATAATCTCTATAGTATTGTTAGTTTAATCCTCTGTTTAGCATCACTTACATCTTAGACTGTAGTTATGAAAGGAACTGAAGTCTTCATTGAGCTTTGAATTTTTTTTTTTGCTAAGTTCTTTCCTGAGCTGACATATTTAATTTGAAACCCAGATGTATAACTAATTCAAGTTTCCCTCTTCATCACACGTTATTTTGCATTAATCAGTGTTAGCTTGGCTGTTATTTATTTACTCTGATTCTGACAATACAGGCTGTTTGAACCCAATGAACTTAATGGTATTTACATAGAGCCTGACATATTATTTTCGGAATATAACTCTCAAACTCATTAACACTCCAGGTCCTAGTACACTTGAATATACCTAGATTAGCTTTTAGCCAAAATGCTAATTGATCATTTAATCCCAATGTTTTTTGCCATCTCAGTTTTCAATCCAAGAGAATATTTTGTCTGTCATTATGTGAACACTTAACTTTGCAAAAAGCTTTAGGAAAAACTCTAAATAGTATTAACCAGATGTTCTTCTTCAACCACTGCTTTAATTGATCTGATAGAATTCTTCATGTCATTAACTATGCAGAAGATTGTGTGGTTTTAATTCTACTGTATCATTTGTATATTGTTTGTGCAAAACAATCCCTGGAAGTTTCTGAAATTTTGCAATGCTCAGTAATAGGGAATGCTTTGTGGGTTGTTTGGGTTTGTTTGTTTTAAAACAATACACTTGTTTTCACATACTGTAAGCTATTTCCAAACCCAGATTATCCCATTTAATTCTGTTCACTTGTGTTGCTTATGAGTTTAATACCTCAGTTGCGAGATCTCATATTAGGTTCCATCTGTGACCACGTCCAAGATAAAGTTTCTTCAATATCCAGTGCTACAAAAGACAGTTTCACCTCTTAAATCAATCTAGTCTTCCTGATTTTTTTTTTTCCCTTTTGAGGAAAGGATCAACTACCTGTTTTGCTGGATTTGAGTATTCTAGCCACTAGAAGATACTTTCTTGTTCATTTCTATACTCTCAGCTATCTATGCAACCTTAGTATTTCCTGTTTATGTACTATCTAACACAGTTTAATATTAGCGACAAATATAGCAGATTTGCAAATTGTGCGCAAGAGCCATTTGGATCACTTAACCTCTTAAATCTTTTAATTTGGTCAAAGGGGCTCACTGTTTACTTTCCAAAAGAGAAGCACGCACAAACTAAAATCTGACATTATCTTAATACCGATGCCACTTTTAGGGGTGTGCTTTCCTTTGCTGTTGATGTTAGGACTTTTAGTTTTCTCACTTTTCCATTTGAAAAATTCCACACTAAAATTTTCTGTATTTTTTTTTTTTTGTTTAGCAAGTAATTTTCACACCAGAAAAGCAGACAGGATCCAAAGTTACTTCATAGACAGCCTTTATAGCTACCTCTTCAATGAGCCAGCAATTTAAAATAGATATGGAATGAGTCAAACAATGGGAAAGAAACAAATTGAGTTCTACTCATAGATGTATAGCATTCTGCTATAGTGTTGTTTATGTTACTTTTATGAATGCTTTTTATATACAGACTAGACAAAACAGATACAGACAAGAGAGAAACAAACAAAAATCCATACAATCTAAATAAAAATCCAAACAAACTTTCAGGCCCACTATCAATATTTCAGGTACAAAGTAGAAACCATGATCTTCAAGGTAAATACAGATTTTAAACAATTGTTCTGGGTTTAAATTAATTACGTTAGGTAGTTAGACAATGCGTACAACTTATACAAGTTACGTGCAACTTTCTTGAGGATGATACTTCTGTCATCATCTCTCAGCAGTCTAAATGCCTTTATTTGACTTCATCACACCACTAGAAAATAAACAAAAACAAACAAAAACATACACACACACTCTTTAATCCTGATAAGCAAAAGAACTTACGAAACTTAAGTTCTTCAGAAACTCACTTCTATAAATGTAAAAAAATTCCCAAGCACTGCAGCACAGACAGGGCCAGCAAGGAATTCTATATTATCTGATTTCCTGAACCCAGGCACACTCCATATGCATACTTCAGTTATCCTAAGAGCTTCAACTGACTATTCAGACCATTAGGACGCTAAGTCCCACTGCTTTACATAGAAGTAGAAGGTTATCATCTCAACAGAACTCGCCAAAATTGAGTCCATGTGTAAAACATGTACAATGAATTTCCATAGTTGTGATTTGAGTTGAAACTCGAGGTCAGTCCAGTATTTCTTAAGGGCACTTGGGAGATGGCAATATCTTTTTACCAGGAAAGAACAACAACTTGATGTCCAGTGATTGAAGAGAAAATCAACTTCAGAATTTTCAGGTTTTTAGTTAGTTTTATTTTCCTGCCTTAATGTAATTTGTAATTCCTCCATGTAATTTTGCATGAAATAAGAAATAAAAAGCTAGAAGAAAGAAATGTGTTTCTGTCCATTACTAACAAAAAGAAATGCAACAAATAAAAATAAAAGATAATCTTATGGAAAGCTCATGTTCCATGAATTACCTAACATAAAAAAAGCTGGTGTACAACTTACTCCATATTTATGACTGGGAGTTCATTTTGAGCATAAATAGCACAAGATTTTAGGAACTACAGAAGACATTACAGATACTTCAAAGTTTTCCTAGACAATACAGATACTTCAAAGTTTTCCTAGCTAATAATAATGAATATGGCAAAGTGTTTGTTTGTTTAAATGAATATAGATGTAACAAACTTACAAGTTAACTGTCTGTAAATTATTAAATGCATTGGTTCCATTAGAACTGGAAAGGAAAAATCTATCTTTAATTAATAGCAACTAAATTAAATGAAGGAAGTAGAGACTGAAATTTATGAAAAGTAGACACTTTCATTTATGACTCTAAATCTTTCAACTGGAATTATTATCCATGAAAAAAAAAATATTTAAAAAAATAATCAGAACTATTTGAGATTTATGTTTAGACTTTAAAAAG